GCAGAAGCTAGTAAGGCTTCGCTGTTTTTGATTACTTTCAAGATAAACCACAATCTTTATGAAATACTTCCACTTCATTCACGTGGAGCGTGGGAGCAAGCTCGCAAAAAGGAATATTTTCGCTCCAGTGGTCGTAAATTAGATTCGATCTGTATATTCTGTTGTCGCTTGTTACCTTATCACACCTTAGCTACCTGCAAATGAAGCCTCAGTTTTGCGTACTCAAAAATTACCTTTTTTTCCTAGGGAAATAACTTTATTTCTACGATAAAATACTCCTAGTGACACAACTGCATGGTTTACAGTTACCAGCATTGGGACGCAGTGTCGCCAGTGTGTTAACCGCTACCATCTCCACCACTACCCCTCCAAGCGCTTCGTCAACCTCTTTATTCTACCACCCTTTCCCCAGCATGATATGCTGGTGCCAAAATAATGAAGCTGCATAGCATGATGCCCTCAATTATCAGGACAACCTTCCACGACGCTAATGCTTCAGAGCGGGAGCCTACAGTTTTGATGACGAAGTGAGGTTTGGGTGTACCTGTGAACTCAGCTTGAGGGAGCTGCGGGTCGTGAAACTGCTGGATGAAGCTGCTTCCTCGGTCAATCCGTACGCAAAGCAGCTACGAGATCTGAAGCGAATCGTCGATCAGAGGGAAAAATTTGTCCGCACAGTCCGTCTTCAATGTGACAGTGCAGTCTATTCCATCCAAAAGTTCGAGCCGACTCTCATGCAATAGAGCTGGATGACTCTCCCCTTGCAAAGGAGTAGCCCAGACATTGCTCCTTCTAACTGCTAGTTGCTTCCCGTACTTAAAGGTTATATGGACGAGAAAACCTCCACGACTCGGAGCAAAGTCGAAATTGCGGTGAGCTCACTTTGCGTCGTCCCGGCTTGCATTGTGAAGCGATGGCATCCATGAGGTGCTCAAAAACTGGCAAGAACCCCGCAATACTTTGCTGTATAATTTTGATCTTACACGCCTCTCTATAAAAAGAAAGCCTAATTTGAAAAATGTGACAGAACTTTCCCGCCATCCTAATAAGTGAACCACCTTCACCTTTTCAACGTACTTTTGCCTTCGAAATCATCAAATGAAACTTAAACACTAAGAATGATCAGTGAAAACATACAATTAAAAGCAAAGAAAAGAAAATGTTTGGAAAGAAAAAACGCTCCAAAACACGATGATCCTTCGCTTGTTTACCTGACGAACTATCGTTATTTCGATAACCCCGAACTCTTCTTTCGGATAGGGTTGACGAAAAAAGGACAAAGACTACTAGGGAAGAAGTTGACGAAAAAGATGAAATAGGAGAAGTAGTAACAAAGGCACTCATGCAAAACGCATGCACTATAGAGAAGCTGAAAGGAATGGGACTGGGGACTGAACGAAGGATAATACGCGGAGCGTGTAACAAAAGAATTGTACTTGGAAGGCTATAGCCAACTAAAAGACTATTGCATACAGAACTGAAGCGATAACGAGAGTCATCAACTACCACTACCAATGAGAATACCTTCAACCACTTTAGTTAACTTTTTGTAATTATTTGCGGTTGAGTACTTGTGACATATAAATTTTTTTTGTATGTTCATTTGACTAGGTTAGTTATAATAAAGCCTCCTTTGTTACCACCCAAAAGCGTTGTGACCATATCCGTTATTTTGCTTTCGAATATCAATGATCGAACAGATATAGAAATTTATTAATAAGGGAAATGTTTGTACTACTATGCGGAAAATCTGAGTACCTTAAAGACACATAGTACGCTCATACACATTGAGGGTGTATGAGACTATCAGCCCCCAGATGTCGATGTGTCGTGGTCCCCCCGCCCAAACATGCCCAGGAATGGAGATACAGGGCCGTGAAACACGCTAATTCTTCCATGCTCCGCCCACTGCCTTTTTACGGCGCAGATTCCCGCCGTTCATAACATCCGTTGCAAGCGCGCCTGTCGCGTGCGGCTCCTTGGCACTTTGCCAAGTCCTTTAATTGCGCTCTCAAATACAGTAAAACGCAATTTCCTGATGCGGATAACATTGGAGGTGCTACAAAATAAGAGCAGAAGATGATGACGAGGGTCAGAACTTAAAAGCAACTGTGCCACTTCTGCAACATCCCTCGGAGGCCACGTATTTCCACGAAACATGAAAATAAAAACGGCATACTCGTTAGTTTAATAAGCAAAACGCAATTTCCTGATGCGAATAAAATTTTAGGTGTTGCTCATGCTTCAAAATCCATGTACAAGGAGATGAAGATGACACAGGCTAGAAATGAAGCACAACGATGTAAATGTAAACAAAACAAAAATGAAAAAATCAAGGAAAGGCAAATTAGATAAACTGGCCTGTAAATTTCTACGATCCGGCGCCAAAGCCATAGAAATACTTAGAACAAACGAGTGGGACGCTTGGGCTGTTTTTATTTTCATGTTTTGTGGGAATGCGCGGCCCTTGATGGATACTGCAGATGCAGCCGAGTTGCTCTTGAGTTCTGCCCTTGTCATCATCTTCTGCTCTTATTTTGTAGCACCTCCAATGTTATCCGCATCAGGAAATTGCGTTTTACTTGTATTTGAGAGCGCAATTAAAGGACTTGGCAAAGTGCCAAGGAGCCGCACGCGACAGGCGCGCTTACAACGGATGTTATGAACGGCGGGAATCTGCGCCGTAAAAAGGCAGTGGGCGGAGCATGGAAGAATTAGCGTGTTTCACGGCCCTGTATCTCCATTCCTGGGCATGTTTGGGCGGGGGGACCACGACACATCGACATCTGGGGGGCTGATAGTCTCATACACCCTCAATGTGTATGAGCGTACTATGTGTCTTTAAAGCTAGAGTCATCTGTTTTGTATAATTTATTACTAATCCTACCGTTCACCATGTTCACTACCAAATATATACAATTACTGAAAAGCTATTTTCATACCAGTCGGCTCGCCGACGCGCCTCCTTCCGTGATACGGCCCGGCTTCGCCGGGCGGGCGCGGCTTCGCCGCGCTTACCTCCTTCTACACTGGATACTCAACAATTATCCGGCTTTTATTTCACCTGTACACATAGTCAACGCTCCTTGAGCAATAACATCATACCTACTATTTTCGACACTATTACCGTCTATGGTGGTAAGCAGCGTTGATCAAATGCGCAGATGAGAGAGAAACCGGGTATTAGTTGAGCATTCAAACATACGCAAGCAGGTGGGCGCGACGAAGTAAGCAAAACCGGCAAAGCCTGGCCCTATTAGAAAAGGAGTCGCGCCGGCGTCAGCCAGCGAACCGACTGGTATCAAATGTACGTGTGACAACAGGTGTTCAAAGTGTGGCGGCCTATGCACTAAAACGCAGTGAAAGTAGGGACCCCGTGCTTGAGAACACGCTCCACCCACTGTGGGCGGGTCTCAACACACCACAGACATGCTGAACTCTCGCCATATGTTTCTCTTCACCAAAAGTTTTTCCTGATCTCCAAGCTCACTCAGATGCGAACCACGAAATTTTTCAGCAAGAGCCTGCCCATCTCGAAAGCAGCCCGCCCATTTTTGAGATGTCTCCTCCACTTCGTCCGCTGTGGACCTCAATCCACCTGTCCCCGGTGCCTATGCTGCTCTGCAACTAATTCGTGAATTTTTGACCTTCGCCCGCCCACAACATCGACACAGCTCCGCACAGAATGGGCGCGTAAATCTCGCTTCAATAGCGGAGCTCCTGCACATTTTTGCTCGTCTTTGCCGGTGCCTGGAGTCTGTTATGGAACCATTCTATATTTCTGTTTGGCTCCGCCGCCTAGCCGCACGCTCCGCCTACAACGGCTGTGTGCCGCATCAAACAGTGATCCCTCCTGACCATCCACTTCCGTGTTTTACAGAACTTTTGTCTGTCTCCGCCCACCTCGGGCAGGCTCCGCCCACAACATGTGTGCCTCACATTTCTTACCGGCGACCCTTTGCTGACCTTAATCCACTTTTTCCGGTCCCTGGAGTGCTCTGGAACCGTTTTACAGAACTTTTGTCTGTCTCCGCCCACCTCGGACTGGCACCGCCCACAACATGTGTGCCCCACATTTCTCAATCGGCGACCCTTTGCTGACCTTGACCTACTTTTTTTCCCGTCTCTGGAGTGCTCTGGAACCGTTTTACAGAACTTTGTCTGTCTCCGCCCACCTCGGACTGGCACCGCCCACAACATGTGTGCCCACATTTCTCAATCGGCGACCCTTTGCTGACCTTAATCCACTTTTTTCCGGTCCCTGGAGTGCTCTGGAACCGTTTTACAGAACTTTTGTCTGTCTCCGCCCACCTCGGACTGGCACCGCCCACAACATGTGTGCCCCACATTTCTCAATCGGCGACCCTTTGCTGACCTTAATCCACTTTTTTCCGGTCCCTGGAGTGCTCTGGAACCAAGCTACAAATTTTTGAATGTGCACCCTATGAATGAGAGCAAGCTCCGCCCACTGTGGGCGGGTCTCAACACACCTCAGGCATGCCGAACTCTTTCCAGGTGTTGCCCTCCCACACCGACTTTTTTGCTCTCGGGAACCGAGTTAATGGATTTTCGGGAAGCGCCGCCTATCTTAGGGACGTGCTCATTTCGGGTATGTCTCCTCTAATTGGTTCGACAACCCCTACTAACATTAATCCACTTTTTCCCCATCTCTGGGCTGCTCTGGAAGCGAGTTATGTTTTTTGTTTT